AATGGAAGGCTGAGTCAAAGGTATAAAGTAATGGATGTTTTGGCCACCTAGATAAACAGGAGAGATAGCACACTCTGTGCGGGGGACCTGCCTGGGAGGAAACCGTAAGTTCTGCACGTGTGGTAATACTACGCAACACTGAAAACAACAGAACAAGATTACATAAGTTCCCACGTCAGGCTCACCAACACACTAAAAGTCATCATTTTCAATATGCATAAGATGAAACGCACCTGAAACCTTTCCCCTAAACAAGTATTTTTTAATTATTTTTAATATATTTTATTGATTATGCTATTACAGTTGTCCCATTTCCCCCCCTTCACTCCCCTCCACCCTCCTCACCCCCTCCCTCCCACATTCCCCACTTTAGTTCATGTCCAAGTGTCATACATATAAGTTCTTTAGCTTCTACATTTCTCATACTATTCTTGCCCTCCCCCTGTCTATTTTCTCCTTACCATCTATGCTACTTATTCTCTGTACTTTTCCCCCCTCTTGTATTTTAAGGCAAGATACATCAAGTGTAGGTTCTTTTCTTGTATTGGCTAATAAAAGATTTTAGTCTGAGAAAGGATAAATGTGACAAGATTTCCATCAAGGTTTAAAATAAAATCTATCACTTCTGTGGCCAAATACTAGAATGCAATCTAACTCAGGCTCCCTCTCCTTTTAAAGTCATTCTACCTTGGCGTCTCTACAGGTGTGCTCTGTGGGCACACCTGTCACAATCACGGGGCTGCTGCTGGAAAACGTAGTATCAGAGCCTGGCGAAAAGACTCCGTGCGTGATGGCCTGTGGAGGGCAGGGGTGGGGTGGCACAGAATAGACACCAGGGAGTCTGAATGTTCCAATCTCCTGGGGGTCCTTAAACACATTCGGGGTGAGGACCCAGAGGATGAATGTGTTACTGTCCCTGTTCCTTATTTGTTCTTTTTAAGCCCTTCCTTGACCGGGGGCTGGCTCATTCCAACATGAGTTCGTGAATGGAAGTTTTAGTGGCCAGGAATTTGCGGAAGAAAGAAAGGAGGAGAAGTAGCTGGGTAAACAGGATGCTAGTGCCTATTTTCGAGAGAAAATAAGCCACAAGGGCTGGGATAAGAAAGGAATTGATTCTGTTGTTGACTAAGCCTTCTCCCCCAGCCCCCCCAAAACATGTGGAAGAGCAGCTGAGCAGAAAAGGTGGAAAGCAGTCTTTAAGATTTCCTTTGAGCTGGTGATGAGACCTCCCGTTTAGTTCCAGCTGCCTGGTGGGTAGATTCCTCTTTGTATCGGGACATTTCCCAGGTAAACCAAATGCCGCTGCAGTGCCTGACAATCGAACTGGATTCATTTGAAGCATGCTGCGTTCCTTCACTTATCACGGACGTGGTGTCTCCCAGGATGATACACTTCTTTCTTGGTTCATCATTTTCATCTTCTCTTGTCCCTAACTAAGCCCTGGATTTTCTGCATCTCATATCCTTCTCCATATCATGTATTTATGAGCAAATAAATTAATATGGCCACTTGGACGGAAATACTAATCTGTGACTAAGTATTATATTTAACAAGGGGGGCAGAAAGAATTTCCATTTTGAACTTCAAACTATGAGAAATAAATGCCCACAGTGATGAGCTTTCCAAATGGGCAAGACTGCAAGGGCAAACAAAATGTTCATGCATTTGACTGACCCTGCGAGAGGTAAGCCATTATCAGCAGGCCAGAACTTGCCAAAAACTCTCTGGAAAATATTGGATGAAAAGTGATTGAAACTAGAAGTGCTTTAAGTCTGTAAGCCGAGCCATGTTCCAAGGAGACAGAAGATAAAATTTACATACACATATATATAATATTTATTTATATAACATATATCAATTAATATATTTAACAATTCGTTTTAATTCAGCAAATGTTTATTAAGTGGCTATCAGGTTAGACACTACGCCATGCTAGGCTGTGGGAACACAAATAGTAATATCTAGGTTCTCCTCCCTCCAGGAACTCACAAGCTGGAAATGTGTGAGAGGGAACACTGTTGTTGGCAGCGAAACGGCACCGGGTGTTACCAGCGATTGGACCTCGACTCAGCAGCCTCGGTACTCGAGTTCAGCAAAGAAAATATTCAGAACCAATGAACTTCAATCGAAGGAGAAAGTTTATTTAGAAAGTCACAGAGGCAGGAAGAAGTGAGTAAGCTGCACTGCGTGGGCTCAGGAAACAAGTGGCAGAGGAAAAAAGCAGGGAGGGGGGGATGGGGGGGCTGTTGGAATTTAGGGGAAGGAAAGGCAAAGGTAACACACCTGGGGAAAGGAGAGGAGGGAAAGGAGCGGGTGTGCTCCAGAGAGAGAAAGAGGCCTCAGTATGGGCCTTCCATTTCGAGGGTTTTTATCTGCTTTCCGAAGGCAGGGGTTTCAGGGGAGGTACCAGGGGCCTCTCGTCACAATATTCATGAACTCCCCAGGTGTGGCCTTTCAGGGCAGCAGCCCCCTCTGATGGGTCAGTGCTAGGGCACAGGGTCACTGGGCCCGACCTTCGGCCCTGGTATCACCCCTCCCACGAGCCCCCCACCCACCAGCCTTACTGCTCTTCTGGGCCTGGAGCCGAAACACCACTGAGGCCTAGATGTTTTCTCTAGTGTGACCAAAACTCTGTCTGTGTGGCCGACAGACCCGAGATTCTGCTTCCAAGATCATCTGATGCGGGTCAGGGCCTCCTTGTCCTGAGGGCTTCATGCTTAAGGGAGTGGTCACTCAAGGGCATTCCGTGAGGCTATTCTCGGGCCCCCTTGCTCCTCCTCTGAGGGGATCTACCTGGTGACTAGTGAGTGACCTGCCAGGGGAGGAAAGGTCAGGGGAGGGTGGGAACCAGCGACCAGCAGTATGAAAAGTGACGGGGTCTAAACCACATGCCCCGTGATAGGCTAGCAGAGGAAAGGTTACCCTGGGGGCGAGGCCCTGGTTGTCCCAGTTTTGCCCAGTGTTAGGCCCCCAGGGCTTTCCAGCCTGGTGACCTTCTGTACCAGGCCTACGGTTGTGGTCCCACTCAGCTCATGTCTGTCTAACTGCCTGCTGTAACACCATGACTCCTACAACCTAACACAACCTGACCAGGGTTCTATGAGCAACCTGTAGAAAGTGCTACTGTTGCAAAGACTGATGGGAAAGAAGAAACCAGATGTTCGTGCCAGTGACCGGAGAAGCCTTCCCAGATGAGGTGACATTTAACTCCTTGGACTTTCGGTGGACATAGGAAGGTGAGAATGTCTTGGCAGAGGGAACAGAAGTTACAAGTTAGGAGCGCATGGCTGGAATGAAGAGGTTGGGATGCGTTGGGCAGGAAATCACAAAGCTTCGTGGTTTCAGTGGTCAATTCATTTGCACATTCATTTACTCAGCAGACGTTCAGCGAGTGCTGAAGGAGGTAGGTGCTGCGCGCAGCAGCTGAGGCATTCAGGGCTTCTTCACGGCCCCTGTGCTTGGGAGAGACTGCTGGAAAATGGGACTGGGACTCGAACAAAACAGAAACCACTGTTGGATTCTAGGAGGACTTTTTGTGGTGTCCCAATGACATCTTTCCAAGGAATGTGTGCCATTTCACTGGGCACATTCTACATGCTGTGCTGAGCAGTTGCGCCAGCACAACAGCCCTGCACAGCAGGCGTCCCCTCTACCTACAGATCGGAAGAGAAGCTCTGGGTGCCTGCAACTGCACAGCTTGTACAGCAGGAAGCTTGATTTGGTGCAGACATTGATCTCGGTGGCCTGGTCATTATAAAAGCTGAAGAACAGCTGAATTCAAGTAGTCTCCCACCCCAACCCCTGCCAAAAATGCTTTCTCAAAATGCGTGGGGGCCTCGCTGGCCTCTGATGATGTGGGCCGGCTCCGCAGAGCCTGTGCAGGTGATTTATGCCCCTCCGCTCTTCCCAGAGACCAGAGCTTATTGCCTTGCTGGGCGCCACGGCAGCAGCTCCCTGCCCCACCCTATTCCCCCCAAAGCAAAGATTTCCAATTACTGCTCTGCAGAAAATGTCAAAAGCATTATTCAACTATTCATTACCCCAGGTTTTGTAATTTTTCATATGTTTTTACTCTTATCTGCTAGCACTTGAAAAAGACCAGCTTTTTCCTCTTAAGAGAGCTTTAATTTGCAGAGCTGTGCAGTCTCCCTATTATGTTCTTATCATCCTCTCCCGGTGGTAGGCAGGATGACAAGGATGACAAAAAAAAAGAACCAAAAATATTTGAAGGTCTTCCTGAAAATCCATGGGAGTGAAGGATCCAAAAAGCCTGAGGCTTCTGTTCCTCGAGTGACCCGGAACAAGGCCAAGGGCAAAAGGCCTTAGCTATCGAAATCCACTCAGCAGGCGCTCTTGGCTCCTTCTCACAAGGACCCAACCCATCACCCAGGGCCGAGGATACTCGGCCTTTGAGGATTTCCCTCAGGGTCTTAAACGGGGGCCTAAGGAGCTCTGAGGTGCTGAGAGGTTCTCCCCGAATTCTCTTACTGTTTAATATGCTTCGGCACCCCAAGGACTAGAGACCAAGGGGCACTTGGAGTGAGCGCTTAGTGCTCCCCCCGTCTTCTTTGGCCTCCGCCCCGTTCTTTCACAAAGCAATTGACATTTTTCTCCACGCTATGTGAAGTCCTCTGCAAAGGCAACTTCAAGTTCCCTAGCTCCTCTCCTCCACCTAGATGGCGCCCAGAGCCCCGCCATTTGGAAATTCTGAGCTGCCATCTCCCTGGATCCTTTCCTCCCGAGATACTCAGGTGTCTGAAAGCAGCGCATGGGGACTCTGGGTTTACCCGGGGGACGCACTGTCTGCGGTGTGCGGTGCTCGGGGGAATCCCCGCCCACCGAGACGTTCGGGTAGGGGAATCCCCGCCCCCCGTCGCTGTCACTCCGGGAAGGGAGTTCCCGCCCCTCGACTCTACCAGTGGGAGGGAATCCCCGCCCATCCTGGAGGCTGGTGGATCCCCTGCGCCGTGCGGCTGGGAGAGCAGAGCGCGGAGCGGACTCCCAGCGCCGGGCGTACCGGCCCCAGGCGGCCCCAGGAAGGGAGGCGCGGCGGGGTGGCGGCTGCGGGGCCCCGGCGAGCCGTGGGCGCCCGGGACTGCGCCTCCCGCGGCTGCGGGAGAAGCACGGTGCTGCAGCTCCCGGCAGGCGCGGCGGCAGCACCGGCTGAGGCGGCGGCGGCGGCGGCGGCGGCGGCCGCAGCAGCGCGGGGTCCCGCCGGGCGGCGCCTGGGTCTGAAGAAGCGAGAAGCAGCAGGAACCTCCGACGAGCCGCGCACAGGTGAAGTGACCGTGAGGTCACTGCCGGGACTTGGGGGTCCAGATTGGGGGGCGGGGGGGGCAGGGGGCGGGTTGCCACCTCCGAGACTGCATGCGCCCGGGAAAGTTTAGTGACAAATCCCGGTGCGGGAATCCCAGCCTCGGCAAGGCGGTGAGTGGGGACCCGAAGCCGGGTCTCACGTTGCGCAGCGCCAACTCCCCTTGTATCCGCCCGGGGGCGGGGAGGACGTGGCCACGGTTAGAGGGGCGGATGGAGGGGGCCGAGGACAGCGTGACAGCCCGAGACGCACTGCTGACACGCTTGGGCAAGGACCTGGAGACCTTGCACTTCATGTCCCCCTCCCTGGGCCATCACCTGGTCCTCTTGTCCAGGGCGGAGGCGCTCAGGTGCGCCGATCTCAGGTACTGCATTGGGGTCCATCTGCCGCGCATCCTCGAGCCTCGCCTGCCGCTGCCTGGGGAAGAGACGACGCGGCGGGGGAGTGGAGGGGGCTCGCAAGGAGCAGCGGCATCTTTGGAGCGGTTATTGGCCTCTGCCAGGGGGAGAGGGAATGTACGGATGGGGAAACCCTGCTCTCCCTGTTAAGTGTGGAGTTCCTCCTAAAATCTGGCCTCCTCCCTTTCTCTCTTGCTTCAGATTTGCATTGATATTTTGGGTCTTTGGGCTGCTTGCCTTCCCGCAATGCTGAATCAAGTAGGGGGAGGGTCCAGGGCTCCTGGCTGGGGTTTGCCAGGAGCCTGACCTCAGCAGCCCTGACGGGTGCAGAGACCTTGATAAGGGACATTGGAGTGTGAAGAGGACATGGTCTGGCAGGAACTGGTCGCGGAAGACTGGAATAGCAGGCACGAGGGCATTCCAGAGCTGCAGCCCTGCACTGGGACAGGAGGTGGAGTGTTGGGGGCAGGACCTAGGCTCTGGCACCTGGCTGGCCTCTTGCCTCCCACAGAGGTTGGGCGCCTTGGGTGGATGTGTTTCCCTTAAGGAATCATGATGAAGCTGTTGGAGGTGGTCGCTGAATGGCTGTGGAAAGTGTTACCTGGATCTGCTTATACCAAAAAGCCCCCCTGGACCTTCAGTGCTGCTGGTCCTTCGCCAGTGGGGCTTCCCACCCTCAGCCTGCCTTGCACTTGGGCTCTAGGGCCCTGGCATTTCTACAGGGCCCGCTTTTCTGGTCTGGCTTCTGGGTGGGTGTCCAGTCAGTACAGGTGTGTCATGGGAGGGCTGCTCGTGGGGGCAGAATAGAATGTCTCAGAACACGCTCCTGCTGTAGGTGGTTTGTTCTAGCTTCATTAACTCCCTCTTCCATTAGAATGGGCCAAGCACTGCTGTGAGTGTGTATACGTGGGGAGGGGGAGATGCAGGAGTAAGGGGATGGCAGGTGCTGGGAGAGGAAGAATCAGAACCGTGTAAAGTATACAAATGCACCTCCCTTGGCATAGTTAATATGCTTCTGGGAAAATATTGAATTATACTTGAAATCTGTATCATTGAAATTGATTTTGCATGCACTTAAGGCAGCTTACTATTTAAGGAAATTGACGATGATTTCTCTATTCATTTCAAACAATTTTTTTTTCTGAGAACCTGTGGTGCGCTGTACACGGGGGCTTAAAGGCTCCTGGGGACACACGTAGATGAAAGAGGCTCCCTCCTTGCTCTCAGAGTTTCATTCTCTCGGGAGAAAGTGAGATAACTATCCTGAGAGCTCAGACCCAAGCCCGTGCGTGCGTGGCCTATAATACGCATCTTATATGGATTGGGTGACGGAATGAGGGATGATGCAATGACTAGAGCACCTGAAGAGTGGTCTCCATAAAACATTGTTGGAGCAGGGAGGAGGCCTGAAAGGCGCTGTGGAGAGCCCAGAGCCTGTGTAGATCAGATGTGGGCTGAGATTGATCCTCAGGGAGGATGTGGCCCCTAGGAGAATGGTGGGAGAAGAGGATGAACTAAGGACTTGGAGGACCTTAGCTCTGCAGCTGGGAGGGAACTCTTTGAGACTGTTGAGCAAGGGACTATTATGATCAGCCAGGTGCTTTAGGGAAATTAATCTGATCTCCCACAGACAAAATTGGGAGTGGGGAGAGATGGGAGGTGAGGAGCCTGGTGAGAAGGTTATTGGCATAAGGTGGTGGCTGGAGGTCGAGCATGGTGGGGGGTGGCAGCAGGCTCCGGAGAAAGGAAAGGTTCATCAGATGTGGACTTGAAGTGTGGGCGCTGCTTGGATTTGGAGTGAAGAAGAAGCAGGTGACCCCGCAGGTCAGCAGTGTGAAGGTACAGGTGACTGAAGGAGAGGGTTTGGGGTTTTAACATTCAGCACGCCAGAAACTTGGAGAAATGCCGTCAGACTTTTCCTTCTCACTCCTCCCATAACTGATCAGTCTTGAAGGTCTCTCGACTCCTTCTCCTTGTAAAACCTATCACTGGGCCCCAGGACCTTGTGTGGAATAAATTCCAAACCTGCGTGCTTCCTCAAACTTCCTTCCTGTTACGTCTCCCAACAAAACACACACCTCGTACTGACCTGTCTGACCCTCTGCCTCTGCAATGTTGCTTTTCTGGGGTGAGGGCCTGGAGTATCCTTTCTCCCCTGGTTCTTTCTGACCCAGCTCAAGGGCCTCCTGCTCCGTGAATTCTCTAACTCTCTCCCAAGGGGCGTTGAGCAGTTTTCCCTGCGGACCATTGCTATACAGAGCCCTGTTTGCACCCTCATCACGATGCTCTGGTCCCATTCCTTTAGGACCTTATCTTATGTGTGCCCAGTTGCCCACCGACTTAACCAGGTTAGGCAGGAAGGGAGACAGAGGCCACACGCCAGACGCCCCATGCCCAGCTGATTGTACTCTAGGGTGCAGTCCCAACCCAGACTCAGAGGTGCCAGGCCTGGGGGGCTAGACAGGAGAGCACAGAGCTGTGGGTGCTGCTCCCTTGTCCTAGATCATGGGGGCCTGAGTGACTCAGACCATGGTGGGAGGGGGATGTCCCTGCTGAAAGGTGGCCCCAGATCCCTCTTACTGCACCACCCACAGGAGGAAACATCCAAACCTTTTTGTCAAATCCACAAAAGGTCAGGACCAAACCCAAAGAGAGGCTGAATCTCCGTAACAGGGCTGAGTTGGAGCCTCAAGAGTTTTAACCCCTTCCTTTCTGACCTCAAGCATCTCCGCAGTACCAAGTAGGATGCTAGGGAGGCAGCACCCTGAGGAAGGCAATGCCTTGAGGAAGGCAGGTGGACAGGTGCAGGCAGGAATGTCTGAGAAGGGCCATCCCAGGAGGAAGATGGGGAAAGGCCACTGACAGACACTGAGAGCAGTGTCTGTAGAGGATGGTCACGGAAGCCAGGGTACGAGAGACAAAGGAGAGAGTGAGGCCAAGACAGTGGAGGTGGTGGGGGGAGCGGGGAGGTGTAGACACTGGATCCAGAAGTGTGCCAGCTAAAACGAATGGGAGAGTATTTGGAGGAGGTGGTAGCGTTGTGGGGAGGTTTGTTCAGGAGAGCCCCCTAGTTCCTCCTCCCAGGCATGTGTGGTAAACAAAGGAGAAGTGGGAGAGTAGGAGAGAAGGGAGACAAGGTAAGGGGCATTTGGGAGGGAAGAGGCAGAACAGATGCAGGGGAAGAAAAGCTGGCATCTGCCTTCCCTGGAAGGCAGGAGGGAAGCCAGGGTGGGGCGAGGCCTGGAGGGAGCCTGCAGTGCAGCGGACGGAGGAATTGGTCTTGGTGGAACAGGAGGAGCACCTGCCAGGAGCGGGGCTGGGGGTGGGGTCGTTGCATGAGCCTGGGGACCTGGGGGGACAGGTGGATGTGCAGCTGCCAGCCAGAGGAGGTAAGCCGGGCACCTGGTGCCAGCTGAGGCAGCCCGGAGGGAAAGGAAGGATTCTGGAATTGGGGTCAGAGACTTGGGCTGAAACCTGGCAGCACAGAGACCTTCTCATTGGCCAGATCACTCGAAATTTTGGACCCTCAGTTTCCTCACGTGCAAATCGGTATAACAGCTACTAACTGGGGTTGTACTTAGGAGGAATAAAAAAACGTACTGAGAGGTGTATGCAGACCCCACAATAGTAGCATCTGTTATGAAGCCGGTCCCTCTGATAGTGTGTCGAGAAATGAATTAGCCTCTCGCCTAAGCCTGTGACGGCCCAGTTGAATGTAGACGGCAGGACTTTTTAGTGGACCCGACCGGAGCTTTCTTTCAGCTTCAGATGGAAAACTCTGAACTGCTCGGAGCAGCCTGGCCTCCCTGTTCTCCTTTAAGGAATCTTTCAGGATGCACGCCCTTTTATCTACTGGCTTGTTTCACTGGGCACATCTGCATTTCACTCCCCCCTGCTATGCAAAGGTCAGTTTGCCAGGGCTCAGAGCTGGGAGATCCTGCCTAGTCTTGCTCCTCGGGAGTTTGGAAGGGAGCGATGCTTTTCCACTTGCCAATCCCTGCGTTTAGGAAGCTGGGGCCCAGCAAGCTGAGAACCTGCCTCATTCCAGGACCACTGGAACGGAAGGCACAATGTACAGATGCTCTAACTGGGGGGGGAACTGTTGTCTTTTAGCGCCAGTTTTGCAAGATGCAGTTGGGTAAGGAAGGATTCAAAATCCGCGTACCCCATCGGTTCTGTGAATGGATCTGTGCGGAAACCTAGAGAGATTAAATAAACACCCTTGCATATTAGCGAAGAGGAAAAGGAAAGGGGCACTTAACTTGATTTAGTAAACACTCCATAGGTGTGTGTCAAGTTCAATGATATTGGGGGAATATGTGCGGGATTTTATTTTAAGAAAGAGAAGTTTTAGGTGGAAGAGGATATGGGGGGGATTAATGGTGATGGAAAAAATTTTAAAAATTTAAAAACAAAACTAACCCCCTCCCCAAAGCCATTAAAATAAGGAAACTTCTGCTGCATGCAACACTGAAGCAGGGGGAGAAGGAGAAGGAGGAGAAGAAGGAGAGATTTTCAAGGAAAAAGTATGTTCTCAAATTACTTTCCGCCTGGGTGGCCTATGT